TTCCAAGCCCTTCGTGCTGCCTTACCTCTTAACTTATCCCGATGCATTTCCTTCCGTACCATACATTCCGGTGTTCTCCAATCAACCTGAAGCATCCATCTCAAAAATATGTCTTCTATCCTTTTCACTTTTCCCTTTTCTTCCACATATTCCAAATCTCCGCCCTATATTCTAATACCGTCCAAACCAATATATTGAATAGCCATTTTCTTTTCCCAATGTCTTTCCCAAACTTCCTCTTCCCTATACTCCCCATTTATCCCGCAATTTCCATCGCTTTTTTAATCCTATCCCTTATGTGCCTTTCTTGTCCTCCGTTCGCCGGAAATGTGTATCCCATATATTTGATCTCCTTTACCTCCTTTTTATTTCTTTCTCTTCCCATCTCCAATTTGTTTTCTTTCTCCTTCCCCTAACCTTTTTAAATACCATTACTTTTGTTTTATCAACATTCACCTCTAGCCTTTTCCTCTCCAAGTATCCCTCTAATCTCGCTATCATTGCCCTCATCCCCTCCTTGTCCTCCGCTATCAACGCCATATCATCCTCATACGCCAATGAGTATGTCTTCCCCATCCTCAGCTTTACATCTCTCTATCTTCCTCTCGCCAAAACCTCTTCTAAATTCGCCAATACTATATTAAATAACACTAGACTCAACGGACACCCTTGTCTCAACCCCCCCTCCTCCCCAACTGAAACTTCTCACTTAATTTCTCCCCTTTACTCCCCTTTACTTTCTAACCTTTACTTTACTTTTCGTCTTCCTTATCACCTTTTCTATCATCTCTACCAAACTTTCTTTTACCCTTTTTTCTTTTAATGATCCTACCAATACTTCTCTGTCCACCGAGTCGAACGCTGCCAATACTTATAATATATAATTGTAATATGTATAATTATTGTGTTATCTTTTATTTGATAAGAGACTTTTTATTACTTGACATAAAAATAGAAAATTATAATCATAGATTATATGTACTCTATTTTAACTGTAAACGATGCATGTGAAATGAGAGAACGATTGGAAAGAAAGCGCAATGTTTCAAGAATATTATTTCTATCTCTTTTTAACGTAACTTTTTTTTCTCTTTTTCTTGATCGAAACGCGCGAAATCTGTGTCTGTGTGTCCGCCCATATCCCATACAGCACAGAACATTTCAATTACATTGCAGAAATTTTACAATCTTGCAAATTGCAACGAAATATTGTAGAGACATTACAGGGGCATGTTACTGTAATATTTCATGAGAAATGTTACTGCAACATTCCAAAACCTTTGCAAAAACACGATGAAAATTGTGCAAATTAAAAACTTGCACATTGCTTCCCCATCATTTTATTTCGCTCACAAAGTTTAAACTTCTTAAAGCAAGCGGGTTTTTCAATTTTGGCTTCCTTATAAAGATATCTCAAAATTTGCGAAAGTTAGAGCGTGTACAGACATTTTTTAAAAAATTTTAAATTTTATAAAAAATGAACTCTTTCACCGATCCTCACTAAATTCAATGCCAACTATTTTTTAATAATACTCTATTCACGGAAAAAAATTTTACCTGATATTTCAAAATTTGCGAAAGTTAGAGCGTGTATAGACATTTTTCAAAAAATTCAAAATTTTATAAAAAATGAACCCTTTCATCGATTCTCACCAAATTCGATACCAACCATCCGTTAATGATCCTTCTATTCATTTTAAAAAATTTAGCCCCTTATCTCAAAAATTGTAAAAGTTAGAGGTTGTACAATACATTTCGTATATACATACATACATACATACAGACATTTTTTAAGAATATGATTTTTCGACGTTTTGGAACATTCTAAACACATTAGCATAGAACAAAAATTTTGTCACGAAAACAAAGCTTCCTCTATAAGGAAGCAAAACTATATTCAACAGCTAGTTTGTTTGTTTACCCGTAGGTTGTTACGCTATTGTACGCACGACAATATTTATTCATCTCTCAAGGGTGCTTTGGGACACCCTGTATAAAGCTTGCAAATAGCAGTGGCCGACTACATCCTGTAAGTCAGTTCCGGAAGATAGAAACATGATCTTTCTCTGCTTTCTGAGTATGTCTAATTTCTCGATATGTTCTTCCTCGTCTTGTTCGGCCACTGCTATTTAATTGCGATACTTTTCGAGCAAACAACGCGCCATGCATTGTCTAAATCTCTAAATTAAGCGTTTGGACGTCATGTGCATGGCAAGCTGCCTTGCTCAGAGCCTTGTGCCGTCGATATTCCCTATTCCCGTCCGTAGCAATGTAACGATGCGTTTCCGACCCTAGATCCATTTGTAAAAAATGATCCTTAGGGTGCCCCCGACAATCTTTGTCGGTTGAATATCCGAATACCCTGTGTATAAGGTAACATTTGTAACTACAGATATAAGGCAATTTAAAAAGCATATAAATGTTAAAATAAAAATCATCTGTATATATTATATTATTATAAATACATTTGCACAGTAATACATTGCATTAATATGTTACATTGCAAGATTACTGCAATGTTACATTACATTGTTACTATAAAGGCGGATATTTTAATGTTACTGCAATTTTGAAGCAACATTATAGCAACATTTCGCAATATAAAATATTCCATTGTTACATTGAAATATCTATATAATGTTTCTGCAACCTTTTTATGCTATATATGGGATGCTTGTGCGTGCCATGATTGACGCATGACATGAGAAGTTAAGCTAACAGGAGAAGAGCATTTTTTTGTTCTTGGAAACATATGTCGCCCTCGTTGCTCCTGGAGCCTTCTAGAAGTGCTCTCCTTGCAAAGCCTAAACTCCTAACCGAGTCGAATGCGCTTTTGAAAATGACGTGACATAAGGACCGAAAGTTTAATGTATTTTCAGAGGCGTCGCCATCCTTCCTTCTCCGTTTCTCTCCATCTTTCGTCCTTGGTTCGGTTACATTTCGGTTCGATTGACGGATCGAATGTTAAGGAGCGATTCCGAAACTGTCAAGCGTCCTTTTCATTAAACGCATTGTACCATCCGATAAGAAAGGCATCCCAGAGTGGACATTGTTTCAATTCTTGTGATCAGCACAATGCCACTGTTGCGTCGAGTGCTCGCCCAGTATACGTTTAAACATTCCTGAATGCTTAGTAGTACCACAATCGCGAACAAGAAACCCCGCTAGTAAATTGGTTAACCTTCTTTGTAGTCTCGTATTTTAAACTGCGATAGAAAAGAAAATATCGATTGTATTATTTTAATACTAGATTTCCGTATTGATTTATGCATTTATGATTTTTTAAAGCATAAATATAGTTAAAGAAATTAAGAGGGCATACCTGTCCGAAACCTCGAAAAATGAGTACATTTTCTAGATTTTTTTGCAGAGCAACGACTTGATAAAAATTTTTAATTTTTTTACAATATTAATACAATATTAATACAATATTAACTACTTAAATACAATTTTTTTTTTAAGTTATGGGAATATTTGCAGAGCTCCTCCAAATTTTAGGTGGCTGCACGAAAACATATGCATGAAAACGTTCGTAGATTATATCCGAAATAAAAAATACAAGCTTTTTTTATTAAACATATTAATAGCTATCTACTATCCAAACGTTTTTTCAAAATTTTCAAAAATAAAAAAATGGCGGCGTGTTGAAAAAAGTTTCGTCTTTTCTGAAAAAAAGTACATTTTTTTTGTTTATAACAAAAAAAATGGGAAATCGGATTTAAAAAAGCAGATGCGGAATCTTATTAGTAATTCGCATGCAAAATTTGAAGTCAATCCGTCGAACGTAGCCCGAGTTTTCATGCACACCGTGCATGAAAACATACATCTGCAAATATTCGCATAACTTCTAAAAAAAAACTTTTTTAAGCTGATAATTTTTATTTAAGTAGTTAATAATATTGTATTAATATTGTAAAAAAATTAAAAATTTTTATCAAGTCGTTACGCTGCAAAGAAATCTAGAAAATGTACTCATTTTTCGAAGGTTCAAACGGGAATGCCTCCTAATAAGACTCTTTTAGTATAATTAATGATAATTTCTTATCCTTAAATATAAATTTTTATTAATCTTGATACAAATTTATTCTGTTAAAGATATTATTTATTTATAAATTGATATTATTTATAGAAAGATATATGTGGATATATGTGGGAAAAATATATGAAAGATATATATATCCTCGAAAGTTAATTTTAAACTATTTTTAAACTATTATTATTTATATTTATATATTTTTTTAATGATTGATGATTAATAATAAAATAAATTAATATTGTATGCTTCTCTGTTCTTTGAAATATTATTTAATAAAACATTACAAACACACAATTTTTTGGTTACACACACACACAAAATGCTTTTACTATAATGTTTATATCTCTTTTTATAAAAAGAACGAAAAATTCATCATTTTTAAAGTCTTATCTAGACTATGTGTTTTGTAATTCGTTAAATTCAGTATTGCTTCTAGCAAATCTAAATTACAGATGTTTAACAACTGTAGCTATAAAGCTCAAGACATTCGTTAACCATGTCAAATTATTTCTTGAACAAATATCTCAGAAACAAACTTAAACAAAAAGATGAATAATTACCGAGATATAGAAAATATTTTATTCTTGTTAAATGGCATTTTTTGCTCTCCCTTTTTTTCTTTCTTTCTTTCAGCTTGCGTTTTTCTTTGTTGAAATTTATTGGAAAATATCCCACTGTGAAAACTCGTTATTCGAAAGCGTGTTTTTATTCTTTTCATGAAAAGTAAAGAATTTTCTTTCTGTAAAATGGTTAGAGCAACGACACAGTCGTCCTAACATCAGCAAAAGTGAGGAAATGCACGACTTATCCTTTACATACGTACCATTTCATTAAAATTTATTTAAATTGTATCGTAAAAAATATTTAATAATATTAAATATTTATGTATATATATCGATAATAAAAGAAGCAGTTTTAGCTTAAATTAATATTATTTTTGGTATAAATATAAAAATTGATTTTTATTTGTGAAAATTTTTTATTTCTAATTTCTATATTTGCACAATGATATAACATAATCTTAACATCTTACTGCTAAATCCTTACGAATATCCTATCCTAAATGAGGAACTATAACAACGTAGATTTTGAAAGAGAAAATAAAACAAAAATAAAATTTTTATTTTGTCCAACAATGTTTAAAACCAATATAAAAAATATCAAATATCAAAAATATCAATACTATGTGTGTGTGTATGTCTGTGATATAGTATAACAAATCTAAGATAAATACAAAGTTTGGAATACAATAAATGTTAAAATAAAAATTAATAGTAATAAATTAAAGAATATCTGCATATAATTTTAGCAGAAACTGTAATATAATTGCAAAAGGAATTGTTTAAATTTTATGTAATATAACATTTAGTGCAGGTAAAAAAAAATTGACTTTCTCATTTGTACTTAAATTTATTATGTTAAGTTAAAAAATAATTTACAAAAAAAATAAAATTTTTTAACATTTTTAACGCGAAATTAAGTACATATACACAGGATAGAGCTAACCCTTCGAGTACTTTCTCTTTCTCGGCTAATCTTTTCTCCCTAAATATATATGAAATATATATTTTCTCCCTATAAAGAAAAGTTCACGACAGAAGATTAGGAAAGAACTTGAATAAATTAGCTCATGATTGTAAGATCAATGACGCGTTATTGTTGTTGTTGGCAAAAATTGTGATATTCACCGTTAGAGAATCGGATAGCAGTATGTGCCGGTGTAAAGTTATGAGCGTTCTCGTTAAAAAGATACGTCTGTGGCATCCAATAATCAAATGGCTGCTGAATACTCGAATAATGCGGAGCCATCGATGAAGCTAGAACCGACGGCGGATAGTTATTATTGAAGTTGCAACCGAGATACTGATAGCCATTGATGTAGTTACTAGGAGGCAATGACTCTGGATGAAAGGACCTAATCAGGACCGATTGGGTTTTCTTTCGGGGACGATATCTGTATCCCGGGTATTGTTTCTTGTGTTCTTCCCGCAGCTGGTTCGACTTGTCGATGAATACCTGTTTCGTTTCTTGGGGGAGGTTCTTCCACTCCGCGCCCAGCTGCTTCGAGATATCCGAATTGTGCATCTTCGGATTTTCCTTGGCGATCTCCTTGCGCTTCTCGCTGGACCACACCATGAACGGATTCATAGGTCGTTTGATATGCGGCTCCTGCGATCCGAGATTCTGCTGTCCGACGTCATCATCCGTTATCGGAGGTAAATGAGACAGGTGAGATGAATAACGCGGCAGACATGCCGAATAGTGCGGAATGCTAGAAATTGGATTGCACACCGAGTATTGTTGCATTTTTTCTCGGCTGATTTTCTTTTTCCTATTAATTTAATAAAAAAAAACAACGTTGCAATAAATATTCTATCTCAGACAGGAGAATTTATTTTCATGTACCCATATAGGAAATTTAGTAGATTAAAATTTAAGAACTCAAGCAACTACTCAATTGACTGATAATTATCGAGTCCGAATTCCGCGTAGCTTTAAATTAAACCGTGCAAATGATTTAAAAAAAAAACTTTTTATCAAGATATGTCTCGTACGGACAATGCGGGCAACGTTATCCCTTCACCTTTGAAGTCACCGTTCATTTTAGCAAGTTAATAATAGTAAATAAATCGGTGTATCATTCAAGTAATAGCTATTATCGCGGTCATTGCCAATAGTAAAAATAATGTGTCAGCGATTATAGCCTGAAGAAACTATATATAGCAACACATGCACGGTTCATATATCATTACGTCTCACTTATCGCATAACGTCTTTTGCTATGTAACGGATGATGTAACAGAGGACGTTTTTAAATTATGCTAGAATACTATATTTCTACTATTAATTTAATTAATTCTCAATTTATATACAAAAGGACATGGGTTGTAATCAAATTCGAAAATATATCATCAGACGACTACCCTATCGTTAATTAATTTCAAAGTTGACTCACCTTACTTATTGCTTTTTTTATCTTCACTGTTAGATTTCTCTTTTATTACAGTACTACGCTAATAGTGACGACGTCACTAATTAATCCGATGTCGTATTTAATTCCTGTCCGTTAATCACGATATTTGCCGTTGATGAACTTTGATCTAATGGAAGATTTTATATTATACGTGCTTCGGACCTTGCTTTTGCGGATGATCTTCAGGTCGAACCGTGTTTAGAGGCCTCCGAATCTCATAGTCGTCACTGCTTCGATCCGACTAGCACAACACTCTGATATCTACTGACTTGCTCCTGTTTGCTCCGTCAGCTAACGTGTTCTATCCTTATTTTGGAGCCTCTTCTCTCTCTTCTTCTCTCTGTCTCTCTCTCTCTCTTTCTCTTTCCCATTCTGTCGCACCCGTTGCGAAGTCTTGCTTGCGAACTATGGGCGTGTAGCGTCACTGCCTCTGGTTCGAAGGTCGACCGGACGATCCAACAACAACCCCCACTCGAGCAGGTTCAACCCCTCGTGCTCGATTGGTCGTCGCCGCTCCGTCGCACTTTGTCGCCTGGCTCGGCGATATACATCGCATGAACTGCAATTATTATTATCGATTACCTCGATATGATGAAGTACAAATAGCGTATAGTGTTTAGTGCACCGGGGTCGTTATTATATATTGTCTGGGGAGCGGGGAATTCCGCTCGCCACCGCGAAGCGATAATTGTCGCGTGCGATTACTCTCGCGCACTTATTCTTATCGAGAAGAAAACACATCCTTGGCCTCCCCTCATCCTTCTCTCTCCTCACTTCCTCTTTCGCAACTTATCGGATAGTTGCTTCGGATTCAGACAATCCTGTTCTCCGTTTACTTCTTTTTGTTCTATTTCTATTCGTGTACGTCTGACTAAAATTACTTGGTAAATATTTACATAAAAAATATTTACATTAACTTATACCTTACGAATCACTTTCCTTTTGACATATATTGTAGAGAGTACCTTCCTAAGTGCACGCTTTGAATTTTGTGGCACTCTCTTTTGGTTCCATCATTATTAAATATTATAATTAAGCTATTCATTATTAAAAATTTATTCAAAGATTTAAATATGCAAGTGTATCATTTATTACAAAATTTTATTTGTGCGGAAAGTTCTAAGCTATATATTTTATAGTTTCACTTTATTATAAAGAAAAGGTGTGAGCGGGAAAGGGGAAACCTATTTCTGATTTTAAATTGAAATTAAATTTGCGTTAGATTAGTTTTTTTAGAGGTGGAGGTGCAGAGGGAGAGGCATCACTCCTTCCCCGTCAGTTTATTTAAATCTTTATTTTTATTTTTAATAATAAATACTAATATAAAATATTCAGGTGAAATAAGGAAAATATTAAAAAACAAAATAGTATGCAATTTTTTTATACCTTATTAAATTATATTTATTTTACAAATCATTTGCAAGAGAATATAATTCTGCCATAATTTTGAAAAATTTATCAATACGATATAGTAATACAATAACGAGCAAAGTAAAGAAAAAAAAAATATAAACAGGAAAAGTAAACAAAAAAGAATATAAACACACAAGTAGGATATAACGAAAAGGTGATATAAGTACATATGAAAATTATGATATTTCAAAATCGCATATCTCAGGAACTAAAAGAGAGCGCTACAAAATTCAAAGTGTGTATAATTTAGGGGAATATACTCTCTACAATATATGTTAAAGGGAAAGTGATCCGTGAAGTATAAGTGTAAGTTAATAAATAAACATTTACAAATTACTTGAGCTACTAAGTGTGAAGTTGTTAATACAATAACATATTTGTTCTTTTTTGAGTAGAGTTGTTAACCTATTGTATAATAATTGTTTTCTTTTTGAAGAGAGCTTGCTTTAAAGACAAAGATTTACGAGTAAGATTAAAGAGAGAAAATAGTAACGGATAACTGAAAGATAATGTTTCCATCTACTTTGAAAAATCCTTTTTTCAAACCTAAAGAGCAGCTATTGATCTTGTCCCTCAACTAATATATGACTTTTAAACTTTCACTTAGAAATTACTTTATGATATTAATGGATATAAACAACTCTTTTAACGCTTTCCCAAAATTATAAATATTCAAAAGTTGTGATTAATTCAATTTATTTTACTATTTATAATGTTAATTAAATATATAGTGTCTCTATTTTATAATTCTAAGTGGCAAAAAGGAGAAATACAAGAGAGTATATCATATTAGTTTTGATCGGCACTTTGTACGCCGGAATATACAACCGCCGTATTTGTTACTTCCCTTGTGTGGGGCAAAACCGGGTACTTACACATCTGATATAATGAAAAGAGGGAGAACTGTTATCCTGACTTTGTGTCCCTACAAAAAGCAGTTGAAAACGAAAACTAACGCTCAGAAAAAGAAAACACTAAGAAAAAAGCTTTTTGAGATCCCTAAAGTTAAAAAGTTAAATAAGAAAGTCCTGCAGTAATGTCGAACAAGTGGATATCTTTATTTGTGATTTTTGTCAATAAAATACAACTTTGTATTGTATTTTGATTAAAATAAATCTAGATTTTTAATTGCATGATGTTAATGTCGAACAAGAGGATATCTTTATTTGTGATTTTTGTCAATAGAATACATCTTTATGTTGTATTTTGATTAAAATAAATCTAGATTTTGTAATTACACGGTGTTTTACATATTTTCAAAGGGATACCCGGTTTGACCTTACCGGTAGGACAAAACCGGGTATTTTGACTTCTCCACAAAATCTTGTTATTTTTGGTAACCAAACATTTTTTTTTCAGCAACTAGCCTTATTTTCTTATAGTTTAACTATTTATATTTTCTTATAGGTTTACTAAAGACTACTAACGGTCGGCAAATTCTTTTTTACTCTCAGATTTTTTTGTAGGAAGACATCCAAAAAGGTACCCGGTTTTACCCTACTTTCCCCTATATATATAATTCTAGAAAGAGTATTGACGCAAATAAAACTGTCAATCTCTCTATCATATTCTAATTATTATATCATGCATCTATTAATTCCAAATTTTGCTCGGAAATCATTCGAGTAAAAGAACGATTTTACAAATGCTCTTTATTAAAGCGACACATGTAATGATTGAACGAATGCTTGCTTGTCGTTGTTTTCTTATACCGTCTTTTCGTCGTCGTCGACGAGTAATCAATCGCAAGTCCTACTCCACAGTGAATTTCGAATATATATTTATTTTGCACACGTATACATATACTATATAAGAAGGAGAGAGAGAGAAAAAGGAGGGAGAGCAGAGGAGAGCAGCCGTTTTCGTGAAACAATGCTGGGCGAAATCTGACGGTTACCCTCCTATGGGAAATCTACGAGTACAATGCAAAAAATTCTCTCGACGATAGGGCACTTGAATTAGCGAATGAAAAGCGGCGAAAGGAGAGAGTAACGTGTGCTGTCCCCTTTTCCCAATCCTCGAACACAGTTTCTCCGTCTCTCGTCCTGGTCCATCCTCTCTCGCCTTCTCGATTCCCGGAGGATGTTCAGCGAACGAATAGACATCGTTCGCTTTCATGACGAACGGTATTAGTGTGCTGTTTTGTGCTTTTATTACGATTACTATTCGACATTCTCCCGCCACCGCGATCAAACCACCCCATGTTTTTCTCTCTTATTATTATTTGATATCGCATTTTCTTTTCGTAATTGTCGGCGAACACTGATAAGCGATCTTACTTAAGAGACTCTGCTGTTAAGATAAAAATCTTAATATCCAATCGAAACTCACGCCTTAGCGTGAACGAAACAATCGGACTAGCAATAAAACAGAAAGTAGTAATATAATTAAAGTATGGAATAATTTCTTTTTTTTTTATATGTCAATACATTGTTATAAGATCGAAATATTTCATCATCGATCTCGGTGCGCGATTGGATAAAAAAAGAGTCCAGAGACACAGCAAGTCCGTCAGCTAATAATTTATTATCTCGCCGGGTTGCGCCACCCCGAAAAACAAAACCCACCCTCGTCGCGGCGTCGACAGAGGTTCGACGGGAAGGAAAAACGAGGAGCGCATCTCTTCCGTCGCGGAAAAAATTCAGCGACGTGGTCGCCATTCCGTCGGCCTCTCTGCGAATATCTCGCGCATACACATACACACACACACACACGCGCGTACACACACGCGCGCATGTACACACATTCTTGCCCGCATGCAGCCGGGTGCAAATTGGTATTGAAAAATCTCGAAGTCAATTAAAACTCGAGGCACAAAGGATTCGGCGAGACAAAATACCAATTATCTCATGTCCTCACCCGTCGTCGTCCTCACCCCCGCCATCTCCTTTCCCTGCCCAGTCGACGAAGAGGAGGCGAGAAGGAGGGAGGGAATCGAAGGGGGAGGTAGGGAGGGCTCTTTC